GGTGACCAGGGCACCCCACATCTACACTGGCGCTGGTGCTGCCCCTGGGCACAGAGCCCTTCTGGGGCAGGACAGCACATGCTGGTGAGGAGCCAGGTGGAAACCAGGAGGGAGACCCGGGTCCCGGGGCTTGGGGCTTTGGGGTTTGTCTCCTTCAGCCCCAGGAAGACCAGTGAGCTGGCTGGGCCCCTAACATTGCCTTAGTGGGTCACGGGCAGAGGGCCGGTGCACGTGGGCAGCTCCTGCCCACAGATCCAAACAAAGTCGGGTCAGGGCTGAGCAGCACTGTGTGGGGAGGGCAGTAGGCAGATGCCCAGAGGTCTGAGCCAGGCACCTGCAGGCCGGTGTCCCTCCATGGCTCCTCCAGCTGCTTGTGCCTGAGACCGCACTGCCCCACTGCTGCCTGTGTCTAGGATGCCTCTTGCTATGGGGACACAGCCGTATGGGGTGCAGGCCCTGGGGGTGCACCCCAGCCCCAGCAGGGTGAGCTGATGTGACCTGGCCACATCTGCAGCCTCCATTTCAAGCCAGGTCATGCAGGCCCCAGAGTTAGGATGGCGGTGCCTGTGGATGCCTGCAGGGCCTGTCTGTTGCTCCTCCTGGGAGCTGTGTGTCCTGAGAGCAGGACAGGGTGAGGCGTGTGTGTCCCCAACCCTGCACGTGTCCAGCACTGGGCACGCAGTGCAGGAGCGTCGGGTGACGGGAACAAGAAGACACGTGGGTGTCCATGCAGAGCCCCCACTGTGCAGGCTGTTCCCGGCTCAGCCCTGGAGGGGCCCCAGCAGCTAACGGGGGCGACAGGCGGCCTCTGACCCTGCAGTCCCAGGCCGACTGCGCTGAGCTCTGCCTGTGCAGGAGACTCTGTGGGGGGCAGGAGCCAAGGCCGGGTGAGGGTGAGATGGCAGCAAGAAAGGCGGCCCCAGCGCCTCCTTAGAGCTGTGGGGCCAGATCCGGGCTTTCCACCCACCATGCGCTTCCAGCTCTGCGCAGTCAGCAGCTTCGCCCTCGGCCCTGGCCCAGGCCGCCCTTCCCGCCCAGTAACTCCTGCCCCACCCCCGCCCTGTCTACCTCTCGCAGCCTCACTGTGGCCTGCAAAGGTGTTCTCAGCCAGGGGCAGCATTCGGTAGATTCATGGCATGTAATGCAGCTTTAAATTTAAGCATTCACCATGTGTCTCGATTGCACCTCGAGCTGTTCTGAGCTTTGACGTGGGGTCAGCTGCAGAGGAGAGGGCTGCAGACCTGGCCTGGACCGGCACCGAGCTGCCTGGGCACCCTCCCCAGCAGACAAGGCCTCGGCGGGGTTGTCTCATGACTCCGGGCTTCAGTTTCCCCTCTTGGGACTCGGTACAGGAGGAGGCAGTGCCCTGGTGCCACACAAGTCCAAGACAGACACTGGCTGTGGAGACCCTCAGCCAACCGCAAGGGCAATGGCGTGATGTGTGCCACGAGCATGTGAGGTGCTGGGGTGAGACAGAAGAAAGACAAAAGCCCTGGTCTGACACTTGGGAGGCTGAGACAGGAGGGCTCCAAGTCTGAGGCCAGCCTAGGGCACGTAGAGATGCTGTCAAAACCAAACCAAACCAAAATAAAATGCCTGCTCTTGGCCTGCTAGAGCTCGGGGGGGAGGAGTGAGAGAGGACGCATAGAAGGCTTCAGATTCTATAATTGCTGTGAGGAATGGGAGACGCGGCTGGGGGCGGAGAACTAAATGAGCACCTTGCGGCGGGACCACAACCATTCCCTGCTGCCCCACGCGGCCCTCAGTGACCGCAGCCCAGCCCCGCGTCTCCCTGCCCCTTCCGCTGCTGAGAGACGGCTCCGCCCTGTGGCTGTGGTCCCTAGGTCCCGCTGGGGTCCGGGGCAGGCTCCAGCCACAGCCTGGTCTCAGTCTCGTCGGTGCCCCAGCCGCATGACACAGATGCTCGCGGGCCCCCAGTTTCTACTGTGCTGCGTGGAGCATAGCAGCAGAGGCAGCAGGGACCCGTGGAGGACGGAGCTTCCTGGGGTTAGAGATGTGCTCAGGAGAGAGGGTCCTCCATGACCGCTGCTCAGCAGCCTGTGACAACACGAGGCCAGGCCAGTGACCCAGGGTCCCTGGGGGTGGAAGGGAGGGTGGGAAGCCAGTGGCAGAAGATAGGGGGTGAGGACAAACCCCACACAGTCGAAGCTATGGAAGGCAAGTGGGGCCCTGAAAGGACGCCCAAAGGCAGTAAGTGACCGCCTCCTCCAGAGCACCTGAGCAGCCTTGAGACATTGGAGGAGAGTCCCAGAAGTTCCAGAAAGCGGAGGGGCAGGGGGGCCATCCTGCGTGCTCCCGGGTCGGGACTGTCCCTCATGCTGGGCTGGGCGAGAAGGGAGGCAGGGGTGGGAATTCAGCTCCTGGCAAAGCTGTCGCTAGGACAGAACTGAGTGGTCTGGGTGTTTCTGCGCTTACTTCACACCGCCCTCTCTGACAGCCACAGCCTGATACTGAGAACCCTCCAGTCAGTAAAAAGGGGCCCCAGGGCTGTGACGGGGACTCATAGAGCACTGAATCCCACGCTGAGCAGGATGGGGAGCCCAGGAAGACAGTGGGTGGCTGGCACCCTGGAGTCAGTGAGACAGGGTGCCGGGGCCACATCCCCTTCTGTGGGGTTGAGACAGGACTGCCCCCGGTCACCAGGAGGCTCAGGTACATGTGGCCCTGAGGGCGTCTGCATCCGGCCACACCGCCTGGTGCAGTCCCTATCCAGTGCTTATGGACCACATGAGCTCGAGCTTGCTGCCTGACCACTCTGTGCCTCAGTTTACCCATCTGCAAACTGGAGGATCCTCCGGTGCCTGCCTCCTGGTGTGTTGTGCCGGACAAGTCTGGCTGGGTCTGGAGGGTTGTGCCATGTTGGCATCACGCTCGGGAGCACGATGGTGCCGGGGTCCCACCCAATGCCACGAGATGCTCATGACTCCAGGACGGGCTAGGGCGCCAGCACAGTGTTGGCATTGCCCTCGAGTCAGGAAGGCCTTTGCTTGATGGTCTGGCTCAGTGACAGCTGGCACTGCACTGGTCCTCACAGTCCTGGTGCAGCGCCCAGGGTGGATGCTGGCTACGTGGCCACACGCCGCGAATCTCAGAGCTGACCTGCAGCTGCCTGGGATGTCCGCTGTGGCCCGGGGAGTGAGCTGTGACATGGTCGGGGGAGTTGTTCCTACTGAGCCTGCTAGGTGGCTCCAGAGGACCTGAAAACACACCGCTGAGGAGCTGGTAGGGGGCAGAGCAGGGAGGGCGTGGGCAGAGGGGGAACCGCTCAACTTCTTTCTGGCCAGAGCCCAGGGTCCGGCCCAGGCGCTCAGGCTGACAGAGCTGGAGGGCAGGGTGGAGTGGACCAGGGCGTGGATCGCAGAGGAGGGGCACACAGTGGCGGGGCTTCCATGGTGGAAGCTTTCAGTACTGCACGTGTCACCTTCACAAGGGAAGAGGCGAAGCCCAGGTCCCCACACCAGGCCCCACCCTGGGAAGGGCCAGCCTCCCTCTGTGGTCACAGGGCCCCAGGGCGGAGGCCGCTCCTCTCTTCCCCCTTGGAAGCTGCCACATCCACCTTGGAGATGGCAGTTCTCAGACTTTTCACAGAGAAAAATCAAGCGTGATGCAGACCTCTAAAAATAGCATTATTCTATACACTGCAGTATTAAAGTAAAAATAAGAGGTGGAAATGATTTGTGTCACACAATCTTAAAATTTTCTACCCAATATAGATCATTCATTCCTGTATAAACATCGACACCGAGTTGCTGATTTAAAGCCAAACATTCTGGAACATCCAGGAGCTCCCCAGAGAAGTCATGGCCACACCCAGGGCCAGGGCTGCCGCTCCGTCCCCAGGTCCCCACAGAGCCCAGCTCCCCACCAGGAGCGCGGGTGGGCGTCGCACGGCATGGGTGTCAGGTTAACCGCGCATGGTGTCCTCCGCTGAGTGGAGGTGAGGACCTTCCTCAGGAGGCCGACGGGGCGGGGGTGCCACATCTCCCACCTCAGGGAGCGGGCATCCTGAAGCGGGACCCTGCCGCTCCCGTTGCCCCAGGACGTCCAGCCCTGGACACCAGGGAGTCCCTGCTCCCTTGCGGTCAGCCCCAGAGGGATACTTGTGCAGAGGCGTCCTGCAAACGGGCCTTTTCCAGTGGCATCGTGCTCTGTAGCCCGCTCGTCTGTTGTGTGTGTCTAGCATGTTCACTGCGTGTTTACTGTCTCGTGTTCACTGTGTGCATCTAGTGTGTTCACTGCGTGTGTAGCCCTCACAGTGTGGATCAATAGTCAGTTTGAAGGATAGAGACTGGCAATACCCAGGATTGGGGAGGCTGGAGCAGCCACTTGACATTTTAAAAGTAACTTCGCTAATTCTTTCAGTTTTGTTTGGTTAGGTTTTTGTTTGTTTGAGGGTATTTTTCGTACTGGGGATTGAACCCCGGGCCTTCGCACTGTGAGCTACATCCCCGGCCTTTTTATCTTTTGAGACAAGGTCTTGTAATTTGATAAGATGCCCAGGCTGGACTCGAACTTGTGATCCTCCTGCCTCAACCTCCTGGAGTGCTTGGTGACAGATACGTGCCACCACACCCTCTTCTTTGCAGATTTTTAATGTGATTTTTTTTTTTACACAAATGGACTTCACTTTTCAGCGAGTTTCAGGTTTACAGGAAGCAAGCACAGAGCTCTGAGAGGCCCAGCCCGGCCCGGCCCCGGTGCAGAGCTCTCTGATTCAGTGTGTGACTGGCTCGGGAGCAGGAGACGTTGCCCTTATTCCTCGCTGGGCCCGGGTCCTCTCTGCTCCTGGGTGCTGTGCATCCGGTCCATGTCCAGGAGCCGTGCCTACCACAGAGCCCCAGGAGCAGGGCCTGACCCCAAGCCCCATGCCCCTTCCCCGCCTCCCGCCAACCTCCGCCTCCAGGACTGCCAGCCTCCAGGTTGCCAGAGCTCCTTGGAACCCGCTGACCCCCGCTGACCACCCCTCTCTGTCCCTGCAGGCCTCGCCAAGCCCATTGGCCTGGTGGAGGGTCCAGGAGGCCTGGGCCAGGGTGGCATGGCTGCTGCCCTGCGTGACGACAGCCAGGAGGCGGAGGGCCGGTACGAGGAGTACGGCTACAACGCCCAGCTCAGCGACCGCATCTCCCTGGACAGGACCATCCCTGACTACCGGCCCAAGAGGTGAGTGCAGCTCAGGACACACCGAGGGGTGCGTGGGGCTTGGGCACAAGGCCTGCCATGGAGCCCACCTGACCCTGGGTGGAGCCTGTCCCTCCCTGAGTCTCTGTGTGTGTGTCTCTCCCTGTCTCTATCTCTCTTCCCCTGGATATCTCTCTCTGTCTCTCTTGCTGTCTCTGTTTGTCTCATCTCTCTATCTCTTATCTCTCTTTGTTTCTGTCTCTCTGTCTGTCTCTGTCTCTTTCTCTGTCTCTGTGTCTGTCTCTCTGTGTCTCTCTCTCTGTCTCAGGACCCCGGGGAGGTCCCAGCCGTCAGGGGTGTAGTGCCCCCCACCTGTGGCTTTGTTTCTCAAGGTTTTGTCACCTGCAGCTGGAAAATACTAAATGGAAACTTCCAGAAATGACAAGTCATGCATAAGCTCTAACCTGTGCCCATGCTGAGTGGCTTGATGAAAGCTCCCCCGAGTCGTCCGTCCCGCACTGTGGGAGGGGGAGATGTTGGAGAGCCAGGGAGTCCTGCAGCACTGAGGGGAATGGGGGCTCTGGGTCAGCTCGGCCCCAGGAAGCGGGCCCCCCAGGAACCCAGGCCATGACCACAAGGACCAGGGAGCTACGCCTGCCATCCTAGCTACTCGGCAGCTGCAGCTCCTCCTCTGTCTCCCTGAAGCCCTGGGCCTGGAAGCTGCCCCAGGAAGGGTCCTCATGGCTGACCCTCGGGCAGGGCCAGGACTTGTCCTGGAACGGGCCAAGTGGTGAGCACCGAGGTTTGGGGGCTGTGACTGTCACCACACCGCTCATGTGCAGCAAGAGGCGCGGCTGCAACCCCACAGCCTTTATTTGGGAGCCTGGCGGCCGGCTGGGTCTGGCCAGGACGACGGCAGCTGCCGTGCCCTGGATCCTCTGTTCTGCAGTCTCCTCTCTGTATCGTGTGGCAGAACACACTCTGTACAGAAGGATGCACAAGTCTCAGTTCTGGAGTCCACCAGTCCCACCAGGAAGGAGTGCCCATGTCCCTGTGTACCCACCTGCTCCACCAGTGCAGGCCACTCACCGGGCCACCGCAAAAGTGACCCAGGGCCTGAAGCTGCAGTGCTTCAGGGAGGAAGCCACAGTGGAGCCACATGAGAACCTGTTGCGTGGGCCCAGGCCTCACGGGGAGACGTTGGTCCCCAGCAGCCCAGCCCCTGCGGTTCTGCTCGGTCCCCATCTGACCCCAACCACACGACCTGAGGAGGTCCCCAAACTCCTGACCCCCAGGAATCATGCCAGCAATAAAACAGTGGCCACTGTACGAAGGCACAGGCTGGTGGCTGGCTGTGCAGCAGGCACGACTGGGCCCTGCTGAGGGTGCCTGGCCATGGGGGTCTGAGCTCACCAGCACCGCAGCCCCACTGTGCGCGTCCGGCTGAGCTTGGCTCCGGCAGCCCCACCCGGTGTCTGCGTGGTCACGTGAGTGCTGGAGGCCAGAGCTCGGTCCGGCCGCTGCGTGGCTCCCAGGTCCTGACCCGCACAGCTTTGCTCCGCTGAGACCACAGATGGGCTGACCCGGTTGCGGAGGCCGTGCGCGGAGGAGCGTGTGCATGTGTATGCGTGCGTGCGTGTGTGGGCAGTGCCACACAGAGGTTCTCAAGTGCTTCCCCTCAGCTCATCACGGATCTCCCTGTCTGGGGGCGGACTGCTTTTCTAATTAGGCAGCAGCTTTAATTATGCACTGCGCACACGGTGTAGATCCTGACTGTGGAGACCGGCTCACAGGAGGACAAAGGGAGCCAGCAGACCGGAATCAAACGTGGCACAGAAACAAGCGACCTTTCTGGGAAGCTGCCCGCCCTAGTCGGCAGCACCGGCCACAAGCTGGCAGACGCTTCATGCAGGTGCATCGGCTCTGCTGTGGGCGGCGTGGCCACTGGGCCCAGGAAGTGCGGACTGAGTGGGTGGTCACTCTGGACAGAAGCGGGTGCCTCGCCTGGTCCCTGCACGAGGCTTACAGGGCCTGGGTTTAGGCCCATGTCATGACGGCTGGTGTTTCCAGAACAAGGACGGCGTTATGGCTTAGATCTAGATGTCCCCCTAAAGCCTCCTGTGCTTGTGGGCCGGATGGAGGGTGACTTGCTGTTAGGAGGTGGCCGAGTGGGCGGCGCCCTGGGGTGTGGTCTGAGGGTGTCTCTCCCTCGGGCTCTCTCCTCTCTCTGCTCCTGGCATCCTCTCTTGGGTCTGCACCTCCGCCTGTGCCCAGCAGCCTGCAGCGCCCTGGTGTGGGCCCCGCTGCAGAGATGGTTTCCGGTTTCTGGGCCTCTGCTGCGTGATGCAGTGGCCTCTCCTCCCCTCTGGGCACTAAGGTCTGCCTGGGACGGCCGTCCTGGAGAAGATGGGTCACAGCGCTCAGTGCCCCAGGGTCCTCGGCGGGATGCAGCACGGCAGGTGGTGGTGGTGTGCGCCCCCCTTGAACAGGAACAACCTCGCTGCGAGGCGAGGATCGCAGACCCCTTGACTGAGCCCAGTTGTGTGCCGCCCGCCTCCGCCACCCTCCCCGGTGTTAGGGGGACCCTGGAGCCCCTCGCTGAGTGCTCAGTGTTGCCCGCACCCGGCGTGACGCCTGCCTGTGCCTGACCTGTCGTTGTCAGCAGCTCTTGACCCGGAGCTTGCTGAACTGATTCCTTCCAGATGCAGTAAATTTGATTTATTTTCTGCCCAACAGAAATGGTGCTGTTTAAATCCAGAACAGAGCCCTTGGGTCTCCTCACTCTGAGTTATTACAGGGCCGCGAGGCCACGTGTGCTGTGTGCTGTGGTCACAGGATGAACACGGCTCATCCTAGCACAAGCTCAGCCACGGGCCGCATATGAGGACCTTGCGAACTGGAGGCTGGGAGACAAGCGCTGCAGAGAGGGGGCCTCCGTTTGTGTCCCTGAGTGGCAGGGGCCTCGGGGAGGGGTGCACGTGACAGAGGAGCCTCAGAGGGAGGGACGCGGGGCACTGGGTGGTGGTGCTTCTTTCCAGATGCTGTGAGGCACAGGCCCCCTGTCGTGCCTCTAACTGTCACACTGATTCGTGTTGGATAGAAAACCCTTTCTGCCTGCTCAACACTAAACACAGTCTGTTAAACCCAGAAGGGCCTGGCGTTATAAATAAGAGGTTTCTTTTAATGCAGGGTGGTGCGGGACAAAAAATGAGCAACACCTATTGCACTATTTCTAATTTAAACAACTTGAGGCTGAGGCAGGAGGATCACTGTGAGTTTGAGACTAGCCTGGGCTACAAAGTGAGCTCAAGACCAGCCTGAACTGCACAGTGAGACCCCGTCTCAAAAAGACAAAATAATAATAATAATAGTAATAATAATAATAATAGTGAGAAAAAGAAAGAAGAAGAAGAAGAAGAAGAAGAAGAAGAAGAAGAAGAAGAAGAAGAAGAAGAAGAAGAAGAAGAAGAAGAAGAAGAAGAAGAATTATTTAAACAACTCGTGAGCTACAGGCGTGCACAATGAGTGACTTTGTCTACGAGACCCTAACCGGTACCGTAGGACGGAGCCAAGAGGGGCAGTCGGAAGGAAGAGGCATAGGGACTGCTTGTGGGACTCACCCTGCAGGTGGCGGCCACAGTGACAGACCACTGTCCCCTTGCAGGCTGCCTACCTCCCACAGCCCCGTGGACCGTGTGTCCCTGTCCTGGATGCCTGTCTCTCCTAAATACCAGCTCTCCGCCCCTTCTTTCCTCCCCTCTTTCCTCCCTAATGGAACCCGGAGCTTGGGTGGCCCAAGCCAGCACGGGGACATTTCCCACCGTCCCTCTGGGGTGCTGTCAGGTGCAGGTGGACACGGGAGGTCCTGGGACACGGCTTGCTCCCGCCCCTCCACTTCCTGCTGGCTGGACCCCAGCTGCTGTGGACTGCGCATGGGGCTCTGGGCCTCAGACCCACCCGCAGCTCAGGCCGCTTCTCAGTGTCCCTGTCGCTGGTGGGTGCGAGGGCACTGACTGCGCTGAGGTGGTGTGGGGGGTCCTGACCCCAGGAGCGGCCCTGGAGAGACGAGTCTCGTGTTGCTCACCTTCTGCCACATGTGCAGGGCACTGTCATGATGATCCGCAGCAGCAGCTCCGTGGGACCAGGAGCTTCACCACAGACCACGAGGCGTCGGCATGCAAGGGTGAGGGCGGTCCTGGGAGCGGGAGTTTCTCAGGGCTGAGAACGCCTCCCAGTGCAGCTTTGTTCAAACAAATAGCTCTTAAGGAATCGCAGGAAATGTTTCTCAAAAGAGTTTGCTCTTCAGAGAATGTTGAGAATATTTCCAAGGTGCTTAGCTGAAAAGAATCCGCCTGGGCTTTGAGAAGAGCCTACTTCTCGGGGAAGATGCTCTTTTTTCCCTTTTAGCCATCGTTTAACTGTCAGGTGGCCAAAACACTTTTCCCGTTTGATCACTTTGCTCCCGGCCAGGGACTGCCCAGCCCCGGGGCCTCAGGCGGCTGGAGGAAGTGGGACTCAGCTGCAGCCCACTCTGAAGGACGCAGAGCCTTCAGGAGCAGGAAGGGGACAGTCGCGTCTTCTGCGGGGGCCGTGGCAGCCTGGCCTCCAGGAAGACTTGATCTTTGCAGTTTTGTTTTGATTTCATTAGTGTGTGTGTGTGTGTGTGTGTGTGTGTGTGTGTGTGTGGTACAGACACTGAAGTTCATGTGGGACTGTAGCAGAAAACGTCCCCCCGGCCAGCGTACTTCAGTTTGTCAGTTGCCTGGGTGACAGTTCCTGTTCCAGATCCCGTTGCTCCTGTCTTAGAAATGTCTGGTCACGGTGATGCACAGCTGGTCACTGTGATGCACACTGTAAGAACCAGTCCCCAGTGGACGAGCCATTCTGCCTCTGTGCTTCCTGCTTATCCCATATAAGCCCTAGACCCCAGAGATCAGGGACTGATGTTTCGGGAATGACCCCTGTCAGTGCCTGTCAACATAACAGGTCTGCCTCCAAATCCTGGGTGTCACTTTGGTGTTTCTGCTGCCGTTGCAGGACCTTGGCACACGCATATAACTCACCTCGGTCCTTTTCCATCCCACGATTCTTGTGTGTGTTACGGGCCTGGCCCTTGGCTTGTCAAGCCCTGGAGTTTGACGTGTGTCTCATGGAGGTTGGAGGAGAGCAGGTCCTTGGGTGGGGCAGGGATCGCCAGCAAAAAGACAGGAGTGGAGGGAAACTCTGATCTGATGCCTGCTTCCCGGCTGGGCTCAAGTGAAGCCGTGGGCTGCAGGCTGCCCACCTGCATGGTTTTCCAAAGCCCTGAGCCAGTGCCATCCACGCAGCTTGTGGGCATCTGGTGCCCCATCAGAGGTGCAGCTGGGCATTGGCCTTAGTGGTCTGAGAGCCGTGCTGGCCCTCTCCGGATCTGACCTGCGTCTCCCCGACGGCCGAGGATGTCAAGTCTCTTCAAGCAACTTGTCCGCCCTTTGTTTCCTCACTGCAGGGGTGGGGGCTCCTAAGGAATCTTCAGCACCTTCCTCTTTTGTGGCCTGGGTTCGGCCTGGTAGAGCAGAGCGCTCTGGACAGTGTCTCCTCTTCGAGCTTGCTGTCTGACTGTGAGTGCGGTGGTAATTATCTCCATCGGTCCATGGTTTTGGGGCGTCCACAGCATACCCAGCATGAACCCCCTGAAGACTCAGGTCCCTCCGTGCAGCGGGACTGAGGCGTAGTACAGCATCTCCGGAGCTCGTGTCAGGAGGCCTGACCTGTTGCGGTGGGCATCTCTATCTCCTGGCTCCTGATGCCCACTTGCCTTTGTGGGCAGCCTCTCAGGGACCAATCCTCCCCACCCTCACCCAACTTCAGGACTCCAGGACAACGTACTCCAAGTGTAAGCCAATCAGAGTCCCCTGTTTTCTCCAACAGTGGTGATTGGCTGGAGGACGGGTGCCTTGTTCAGTCGGAGCCCAGAGATACAGCGATGCTAATGTCCTGGGAAACAGGCGGCTTTCCCTCCTTGGGCTGGAACCTGCCAGGTCCGGGCCTGTGAGAAGCCACCTTCTAGCCCTGAGCACAGGCTCAGCGTGGTTACACCAAGCCAGAGAGAGCTGCAAGTGGCAGAAGGAGGCGCCAGCCTCCTGCAATACCATTTGGGCCACTGGCTACGCTGGGCCCCGGATGGGCGTCTGGGGACAGGCCGGTAAACCTCCTCTCTGCTCACGCCAGTCAAGTCTGGCTTGGCCATCACCCACCCCACCACCCCGGGCTCCTGCTGGGGTTCCCTGCAGTTCCCAGCTGGGCTGAGCCTGAGGCCCCGGGGGACAGGAAGCCTGTTTTGGTGACTGCGCCCCTGCAAGGGCTGGGACACAGCTCTCAGGAGCAGCGCTGTGCCCAGCGGCCAGGCTCCCGGGGCCACGGCCTGCTAACCTAGGAGGAGAGAGAGCTGTGAGTCCATGGCTGCCTCAAGACAACCGGCTGTCTCCACTGCTAGCCGCACCTCGGTGCTGGTGGTGGGAAGTGTGAAATCCTCACGGCTGTGTCGCGGGGGCTGGCACCTTCCTGCACCCGGAGTCCATGCCTGGCGTCCACGCACACATGGCATCCACACATGCACGGCTGGGTACAGGAGACCCCACAGGCGCAGGTGAAGGACACAGCATCAGAACGGCAGGCGACAGGAGAGAGGACACATGGCGAGGTGACACGGTGACACGGTGCCCCCGCTGTCCTTGGAGGATGCCCTTCCTGCCTCGGCTTCTCTGTGCTACGTGTACTTTCATGGAAACTGTGCATCCCGACTTTCTCCTCCGCAGAATGGAGCAGAGCCCTCTTGTCAGAAGGCATTTTTCTGAGCAGCAAAATCTCCCTGGCTGAGCAACCGCCACACATACCAGTGTGACGGTGGCGGGAGGCAGTCGTCCCTTCGGCAGCCATGCTGGGGGCTCCCTCGTACCGTGACCTGGTCCGGGAGCCTGCATTGGGCGTCTGCTCTCCTGACCTGAGCCAGGAGGTTCTGTTCCATCCTGCACCAGCACCACTGCTGCAGGAAGGGTCCTCTTCACAGCAGGGTGCTCGGTGCACCTGGGCGGCTGGTGCACACACAGAGCGTGTAAGTGCGTGACCTTGGACACCCGCCTGCCCTAGTGGGCATGCACTGCGCTGGCCAGGTGCTCTGTGAACTTCTCCCAGGCCCCTGGGACCTCAATGTGCCCTTGGAAATGGGGCTGCTGGGGTGTGATGAGGGGCATCCCCAATCAGAGCTGCCCTGTGTTGCAGACACCTTGGTTTTCTTCAGGTGACCTGCGGGGGCGGGGACTGCGGTTCCCTGGACCGGTGACTGGCTGCCCTGGTGGCTGGCTCCTCCCTGTCTCCTTGTCACGCGGCTGCTGGCTCCCTCCAGGACTTGGCCTGTATGTGCTCTGTGGCCAGGCTTGGAGCCCCTCTCTCCCTCAGAACCAGGCATCCTGGGTGCCCCGTGCCTGCCTCCGCACTGGGGGATAGGGCCTCCCTGGCATCTGTCTCCATTTCAGGACGATTTCAGCCTCTTGTAACGCACCCTGCCGTGCCTGTTGTGAGCAGTGTTGCAGGTGCCGTGTCTGACGTGGCTGAGCAGCTCTGCCGCATTTGGGGCCCTTCCGTTTCCTCAGGTGACCCAGGCAGCCCCCTTTCCTGGTCAGTCCCTCAGCGCTGCTTCCTCCTCTGCCCAAGCCTTTGCTTTCGCCCGGGGCCCAGGCTGCTTGGTGCCCGCTGCTGCCCCGTGGCTCCACCTCAACCACCAACCGCGCTCACACCCCTGTGGTCCTGAGCGTGGCCTTCATGTCCCAGTCCCGGCTCCTGCCATCTGGTGCTTGGGTCAGGCTGAGGCCTGGCTGCCTTTCCTGCCTGCACCTTGGCATCCCCCAGGGACCTCTGTCACCGGGGGGCACAGTCCAGGTGGCAAGGCGCCACAATGCTCTGCGCCCCACGGTCTCAAGGTCACAGTGTGGGGCTGAGGCCTTGGAGGCTCCGGTCACGCAGGTTGCATCCACTGGGCACTTAGAGCCTCCCAGGGCCCCCCGGGACCTCGCTGACTGCCACGCCCCCGCAGGTGCCGGCAGATGGTTTACGCGGAGGACCTGCCGCAGGTCTCAGTGGTCTTCATCTTCGTTAACGAGGCCCTGTCGGTCATCCTGCGCTCCGTGCACAGCGTGGTCAACCACACGCCCTCGCGGCTGCTCAAGGAGGTCATCCTGGTGGACGACAACAGTGACAATGGTGAGTGGGCGGCCATCGCAGCTCAGCCGCCCCGTGCCACGCCGTGCTATCCTTCAAACACACACAGCCAGAGTGCGCATTGCCAGCATTTTCAAGCATTGCTAGTAGCTGTCACCACCAAAACTCGCATGGGCCCACCCTGAGACTCTGTCCCCTTAAGCACCAACCCCACCCCATGCACGTGGCCCTGCTCCTGCCTGTGAGGGCTCCAGGGCCCTGCATGCACTTGGACGGCGCTGGCCCTTCAGGGACCACCGTCCACCCGGCATGAGGTCATCAGGCACAGCCAGGAAACGGGGGGTCGGAGCCTCCTGTCCTGCTCACCGCTTCCTGTGGGACACGGTCCTCTCCAGGCCCCACGTCCCCGTCTGTGCGGCTGTTTTCTCACTCTCCCTCTGCAGCAGTGGCTTCAGGGGTCAGGCTCCTGCTCCCCAGGGCACAGAATCGTGTCCTCGGAGAACATTCCGGAAGCACTGACCTCGCGCTCCTGTCCCCGCAGTGGACCTCAAGTTCAGCCTGGACCAGTACGTGCACAGGCGGTACCCGGGGCTGGTCAAGGTCGTGCGCAACAGCCGGCGGGAGGGCCTGATCCGCGCCCGGCTGCAGGGCTGGAAGGTAGCCACCGCGCCCGTCGTCGGCTTCTTCGATGCCCACGTGGAGTTCAACACTGGCTGGTGAGGGGAACCTGGCGCTGGCCACCCCTGCAGGCACCAAGCCAGGGGACAAAGGCCAGGCAGACGGCAGGCTTCGGGCCAGACGGTCCCCAGGGTGGGCCTGGCCCAGGGAGGGGGATGCAGCTCCACGCCCCGGGAAACAGGGTCTGGAGCCCATGTCATTTCCCACACTGGAGAGATGGGGAGTGGAGTGGACACCGAGGGTCACCCAGCAGCGGGGCCAGGACGGGAGGTGATGGGACCCCCAGGCCTCCTCCTGCCCCAAGGGCCTCCACGGGGCCACAGAGGGGCCACCCAGGCCAGGGCAGCACCTGCTGCCAGAGCCCAGCTTAGACGAGCGGACATTCTGCCTGTTGTCAGAGAACCTACCGCCCAGGTGCTGCTTGCTCCCTGCACGGTTTTTAAGCTGAGGGCCTCCCTGTGGCACTGTCCCCGAGGAACAGGGCGCAGAGCTATCATCCCTGTGCAGGATGGGGTACCATCTCCTCAGGGGTCGCAGGGCCCCGGGGTGCTGGTTCGTGTGGCAACGTCCTCCCGGGGCCCTTGCTGGCGTCCTCAGCGCATCCCACACACACCGCACACGGCGCCGGGTTCTCAGCCACGGTGGCCCCCCGTTCTGAGGGCTGGGTCTGCCGGCAGGTCTCTGGCAGAGACTCAGGCTCCCTCGGCTCTGAGTCCCCACACCACCCCCACTTCTCCCTCCCCTGGCACTGCTTTTCCGAGACTGTCAGCGCCTAACACACTGCGTCAACAACTCTGCGTCACTGTCTGCCCCTCCGGGGTCACCCGTATTGCTGTGTGGGTTGCGCACTGCACAACAGGACCCAGTAGCCTTTCTGCCCTCACGCGCGTCATGTTTGCTGAGGCCTGGCGTGTGCTCCGAGCTGTGCCTGCCTGGCGAAGTGCAGTTGGGAGCCAGTGTCACACACCCACCCCTGCCTGTCCCCGCCAGCAGCCCTGGTGTTTGCAGCCCCGTTGGGCGCGGTTAATCCATCCTCCTGGCAGAGCACAGGCGTGCGCAGGGACACACTCTCCCCCGCAGCCCTGTGGGTCCTGCCTGGCCCCAAGCCCTCAGCAAGCCTCAGGGCACCGAGGCCACGGAGGGTCGCAGGGGTCCTGAGGGGTCGTAAGGCCACGCAGGGTCGCAGGGGTCCTGAGGGGTCGTTCCTCTGCCCACTCCCCAAGGCACTCAGCACACTGGCGCCCCCACACCTCATCCCGGGACCAGCACAGCCTGACGCCTGTGTCCAACTGTGGCTCCCCGAGCCCTGCGCTCCCTCCACTCCCCAAAGCGCTTGCACCCCCATGTTCACACCCGCTCAGCCAGGGCCTGTTGTGCAGGTTGCACACTGCACACAGCTCTCCACAGCCCCTCTCTCCGCACACCCTAGCTCCCTGCGGTGCAGGATTTTCTCTTGAGTTCACAGATGCATCCCGTGTGCGGGTAGAGCATGGAGCGTGCAGGTTTTCAGTCAGGGCTAGCGGAGGGGAGCCTTCCACAGCTCAGGAAGGGGAAGGGACCGGGATTGGGCTGCATGGCCGGGCTGTGGGGCCTCGCTGACCCCACCAGGGACTGGGGACAGAGCTGTCCCGGACAGGCAGGCTGGCGAGGGTCCCTGAGCTGCCTGCGGCCGGGTGGGGGCCCGGGCTCCCCGCTCACGCCTGACCCCGCAGGGCTGAGCCCGCCCTGGCGCGGATCCGAGAGGACCGGCGGCGCGTGGTCCTGCCAGCCATCGACAACATCAAGTACAGCACGTTCGAGGTGCAGCAGTACGCCAACGCCGCGCACGGCTACAACTGGGGCCTGTGGTGCATGTACATCATCCCTCCGCAGGACTGGCTGGACCGCGGGGATGAGGCCGCGCCCATCAGGTGAGGCGGGTGCCCGGGGCGCGGCTCCTGGCCACGAGGGGGCGCTGGCCGGCCGGGCTGGGCGGCCGGTGGAGGCCTCGTGGTCCGGCGGGGCAGGAGGGAGCTCGGGGAGGTGGGGCCTGGGACCCGCGAGGGGACGCGGCCCACCTAGCTCAGGCACGCGATCTGACTCACGGTCTCTGCAGAGTACTTTCCTTTATTTTCCACCAATTCCTCTGACTCAAAATGGGAGATTTTGACACTTTTAACCCTTGTTGAACGCACGGTGTGGGGACTCCGGGGGCAGCCAGGCTGCTCTAGGCGGGCACCCTGGCTGGTGTCTCCCCCCAAACAAGGCGTCCCTCTCCAGGCAGCCCCTGGAGCCCCGCCTCAGAATGTGGGTCCCTGGGTATGGCTGACCTGACACCGAGCCCCAGCCAAGTCTCCCCAGGCTGCCCTGTCCAGGCCCCATCCTGTCCGGAGTGTGCGGCCGTCACAGGCCATTGTACTGGGGGATCAAGCCGGCCGGAGCAGCTCGGGCTTCTCTGCCACAGGAGCCCTCTAGGGGCCCCTGGGCCAGCGCCGGACGGCCTGGTGCACTGACCTCTGCGGGTGGGCAGAGAGGAGGGTCAGGCGCTGGGGGCCAGGCTTGGCTGGTGAGGTCACCCTGCCCTGGCCAACCCCGCCTCAGTTCCAGAGAGGAGCTCATGACAGTGGTGCACTCAGGAGGCCCCGGGCTGGTGAGCCCCGCCCCTCCACCGGCAGGGTGGGGTCCGCAAAGCCCCGAGCCCAGAGCTGGGTTCTGCTGCCTAGTTAGGTAGGCGCCTGCTCAGGGTCCTTTGGCTCCCTCAGCAAGGAGCAACTCTTTCGGTTATTTCCCTTCTTTAATGCACTAGACAGTCCCAGCTGGTGGCACGTGAAGATCCCACCTTCTGGGTGACACTGGAGAAGTCAGTGGATTCAGGGCCCAAGGGCAGCGGCCCCCATGGGTCCTGCACAGAGGCCAGGTGGCACTGCCAGCCTCGTGGAGTCTGGTGCGCAGCGTTGCCAAACACAACCCCATGAGCATCACCCGAGAGCCGTGGAAACTGCACGCCAAGAGGCCGCACAGGCCCCGGAAGACAAGCAGGCACGGCACAGGACACGGGATGCGCACAGCCAGCCCGCTCTGGAGAGGAGGCGGCACACAGTGACCAGGCGTGACGGAGGCCTCCCTGAGGAGCCGCTGCACGCCCAGGACGAGGGGGAAATGGCACGTGGACAACGCCAGGGGTGACGAAGTGTGGGGCAGAGAGCTGCCCTGGGACTGGTGGAGCTGAGTAAAAGGGCACCATGCCGGAGGCCGGGGTTGTCCTGGAGAGTCAGAAAAAATCCCTGTGTGCCCGGCCAGGCACATGCTGGGAATCTACAGAGCAAGTGAAAATATCCGAGCAAACCGAAGCTTCGACGCTGCGCTCCTGGCGGTATTGTCCAAGAGAGGCTGAAAATGCGGGACTAAGTGGTCACGAGGATAACAGGCCTGCCGGACGCCGCCCGCTCCCACGTTTGCCAGCAGACGGCTTGGTGGCCGTGCCTCCAGCTAGGTGGGCTGCTGCGGCCTGTCCTCACTGACAGTGACGGGGACGACCCACAGCTGAGTGAGGAAAGGTTAATTTCAGCCCTCATTTTGCAGCGGTTTCAGTCTCAGTCAGCGGGCTCTGTGGCGGGGTGGCATGGCGGAGGGCGTCAGCGGAGAAACAGCCCATGGCAGGCGGAAAGCAGCAAAACAAGCGAGTGACCAGAGACCAGCCTCTCATGTCTTATCCGGGTACCCAGCCTAGGACTGCTCCGTGAATCAAGCCCAGCATCGCACCCTGTAGATCCACCTTCATCTGAAAAGCCCCGTTTACGACTGCATGGGGCCTTGAGGGGAGATCTACACACAAACCGTATTCTGTCCCTGACCCCGCAAAGATTCGTGCGTGTCCCTTTATGCAAAAGGCATTTAGTCCCTCTCCAAGAGCTGCCAAAGTCCTAACAGTTTCAGCACTGCTGAAAAGTCCAAGTCCAAAGTCTCCTCTGAGATTTAAGGCAAACTTACCTGCAAGCCCCTGTATAAATGAAAACAAAGTTAAACACTTCCAACATTCAATGGCACAAGATACACATTTCCATTCCAAAAGGTACAAATGGGGATACAAAGGAATAGGACCAAAGCAAGTCCAAAATCAGGCAGGAAGACATTGAGTCCTGTGGTTCCGTGTGCAGCGTTCCAGGCAGTCTGCGGCGAGGTGTGAGCTCCAGTGGGCTTGGGTGGCTCCGCCCTTATGGCACTGCGGGTGGTTGTAGCGCCCACAGAGTCTCTCGTGGGCTGACTGCTCCCTCCTTGTAGTTCTCTCAGACAATCCACATTCCTGGCTTCTCCAAGCTTCTGGGAGAAAGAGGACCATCCTGTCAGGCCTTACCTCCTCACACTAGGGACCAGGGATGACAGGCAGAGTCCTGTGAGACATCACCTCTGCACACTGAGGACCAGAGTAACCGGGAGAATCCTGTCAGACATCTGTCCTCACAAAGCAGGGATCAGGAGGAGTGAGAGTGGGGGTCCTGTCAGACGTCACCTCCTCACACTGAGCATCAGAGTAACAGGGCAGAGTTCTGCAGATGGATGTCTCCTCACTCACACGTGTACATGGATGTCTGCAAGGGCGCACAGTGGGTCAGCAGAAAGCGGAGCAGAGAAGCCAGCCAATGACCAGGGAGGTTCCCTGCCCCTCCGCTGCGCTGTGCTCGTATAAAATGCTCCAGAGGATCTGGGATTCCCGCTTGGAGTCTGCCGTTCACCACCTGCAATGCGACAGCCTGAAACTCCATTCAAGTGGGACAGCTCCAAACAATGTTTCGCCCTGTGGCATCAGGCATGATCGATCCAAGGGGCTGCCTTGGATGGACTGAGCAGCCCCGGCAGCCAGGACCCCGAGGAGCCCTGCTGTGTCCTGTGGTCTCCCTGAAATCTGCAGGAAGAAACAGGCAGAGTCAGCCATCCGCAGCCCGTGAGGCCTTACGTGCGTGGCGGGTGGACCCGGCCAGTGTCCAGCTGGAGGCGCTTTCCGCGCCCTGAACACGTGTGTGTCTCGCCTGCTCGTTCACACTCCCGAGGGCGCTGCCCGCACAACCTTCCAGAGGGCACAAGCCACCCGCAGTCCACTCCCGCTCCACGGCCTGCAGGCTGAGCCTGTGGAGGCAAACACAGTCACTGCGGAGGTGACGGTCCCGCCTGCAATTCCGAAGCCTGAGAGCGGCAGGCTCCGGAGCTGGGCACACTGCGGCCTGCACAGGCGGCTCACGCGCGGAAGTGGTGTCTGAGGAGCCGCATGGCTCGCGGGGTGAACCCACTCTGCCCTCCATCTCCTGCCCTGGGCTTTGTCATCCGTCTTGCTACGCGGGAAGGGTCTGGACTCTTCAGTGCTGGGGAGCAGGCTCTGAGGGGCCCGTGCCGGTGGCTGGTGGGAGCAGGGTGGAGGGGCCCGGCCTGCGACCGGGCCCTGGGCAGGGTGTTCGGGGCTGGCGGTGCTCACGCCCGTCTCTGCCCCAGGACACCCGCCATGATCGGCTGCTCGTTCGTAGTGGACCGGGAGTACTTCGGGGACATCGGCCTGCTGGACCCCGGCATGGAGGTGTATGGGGCTGAGAACATCGAGCTGGGCATGCGGGTGAGTGCGGGCATGACCTCGGGGCTGGGACAGGCATGGGGACTGCTTGGTGGCCAGGCGTGGGCCCCACCGGAAGTCCCAGGGAGGCCTGGGCCCCCAGAGTGGCTGGGATGGGGACTCTGGAAGCCTGGCATCTGCAGGGAGGAATGCGGGAGCCGGTCCTCGGCTTCCCTGATGGGGAGGCGGGGACAGAAAGGTGTGGAGACCCCGCCCATGGGTGTGGGCCTTGGGACGTCGGGGCCCCATCCTGTTGGCAGGGAGCCAGGCCTTCCTGGAGTTGATCCCCCAACCTGTGTGCGCTGGGTGCAGTGGCTGGGCCCTGGGCCAGGAGGGAGCGAGGCTGGCGGCCCTGTGGGGGGGAGGACGCAGTCCCTGGGGCAAAGCCTGAGGGCGGGCCTGGCATCTCTGGGCAGTGTGGCCCCAGAAGGCGCTCCCGGTGGGGCCGGGCAGGGCTGAGTGCACAGGGCAGGCTGGGTGTGGGGTGTGGGCTCCGCTCCGTGGAGGGGGCGCCTGACCTCCGCGCCCTCTGTCCCTGGGCTCCCGGGTGCTGATGACAGACTGCGGACAGGCTGAGGACGAGGGGCACGGGCCGCTCAGTAGGGGGAGCTGGGGTTTGGCAAGTGCAGACGGGGCTCGGGGGACCTGGCGTCGCATCACCCGCGTGCAGCTGGGGGCCATGGCCATCAGCACACTGTCACCAGCAGGAAACGCGCTGCAGGGCCAGCAGGCGGGGGTGCCGGGGATCCGGCCGGGGGCAGGGTCAGCACGCAGAGCTCAGTGCCGTGCCCCCTGCTGCAGTCTCCACCTCTGCAGCTCCTGTGACGGGCCGGGGCCGGTGTGAGCCCACACTCCACTCTCGGGCTGGCGTGGGTCTCTCACAAGGGGGCTCCAGCGCCGGCCAGGAGGCCATGGCCCCTGTGATGAGGGCTGTGTCTGCGGTGGTGACATGGTCTTCAGGCCACTGTGACAACCTGAGACCTGAGATGGGGTCTGCAGGAGCAGGAAGCCCAAGGTCCTGTGGGCAGGGTTGTGCTCCTGGGGTCAGGGAAGGAGGCTCCTCTTGGCCCCGGCCTGTGCTGCCGCTGCCACCCTGTGTCCCCACAGGAGACACTGTCCCTTGGTGTGTCTGCATCTGTGTCTTCCATTTAAACAGAAGCCCGCCCTGGTGGGCTGGCTGCACAGCTCCTCTTAGCCTGACCCCCTGCAGCCCCATCCCCAGGCCACCCGACAACAGGAGGCAGGCATATGGCATGTGTCATGCTCACGTGTGTGTCTGCATGCCCTGTTTTGTGAAGCATGTGTGCACTGAGCCCCCTAGACAGACTTTGTGGAGCCCTAGGTCTGATCCTGATGTCCACCCCACCCCTGGGGCGTTGTCATGCTCACCACAGCGCCCCGCAGGCCTGGGACTCCATGGTCCTTGCCGTGTCGGGGACAGCAGTGCCTCAGTCCCCAGGGACACTGGGCGGCAGACCCCAGGCCTCGTGGTGTGCGGGCTGGAGGCCTGTGTGTCTCTGGGCTCCTTGCACACCAATTTTATTCTTCAGGGCCTGAGACGGGCTTGTTTGGCTTTCTTTGTTTCTTGCCTGTGGGGCTTCTACTCAGAGGTTATTTAAGGCTAGGTTTCTAAAATTTTATGCACGGTTTATAAAAGTCACAACTGTGAAAACCTATTTACTTTAAGCCTTTCAGTTAAATGTAAAGATTGCGTTGTTATGATTACAAATCCAATAAAACAAGAACAGTCAACGCCTGGTCTCTGATTAGCTCAGGCGAGCAGACTGAATGCCATCAAACTCATTTGCACCTGTAGTTAATTAAATCCCTTTGAACTTTTCTAGGTAGCACTTGGTGTGTCCTATTTTCTTTTTTAAAAGCACTTTGAATGTCTGATATTATCTCATAAATCCTCCCATTGCCTGGAGAGTCCTAGATATCTGATAAATTGAACTTCAACCAAATTGCAAGCCTCCCAAGCGTCTCAGGGCCATCTGCAGAGGTGTTAAGTCCTCTTGCAGTGTCCGATTTCAGATCACCCCCAGTTATGAATCTCAAAGGCAGAATCGGGGCTCATCTGGCAGAGCTTTTAAAACACTACCTTCCAGTAGTGGCTCGGGAGAGCCGAGCCCTCCGTGCCTCTCTCCTGAGTTAACCCAGAGCGAGGCCTTCCCGTGGGCCCCAGGTACTGACCCTCCCTACCCAGGAGAGCCCAGCATCGGGGCCTCAAGTCTGAGGCTGCCGCGGGTCCCCAGGGCCATGCTGCGGGGACAGATGACAGGAGCCACAGTGGGGCAGCCCCCGGGGTGGAAGGGAGCTCAGAGAACGGAGCGTTGGACAGGTGGTGGCAGAGAAGAGGGGTTCCTGCTGCTGCCAGGCAGACAGGCTGAGCAGCCCGGAGGAAGCAGCAGACAAACCGGCTCCTCTGACCCGGCCCGGCTGGAGCCAGGCCGACGGCGGAGCCCTCCAGGTGCCCCGGGGCCGAGTGTGTGAGCCCCTCCTCAGCAGGGCTGTTCTGGTCACACATAGGTGAGCAAGACGGGCCCGGGTCCCTTCTGACCTCATCCCTGGACGCCCATCGCTCCAGCCGACATGGGTCCTGGCCCTGGACTGGGTCAGGTTCACTGACCACACTTCTGCTGGGGACGCAGCATGGTTTCCCGCGGGGGCCTCTCTGGCCCGTCCTAAAGTCCGTCTGTGGTGTCCCTGGTCATCAGGGCATCAGGACAGAGGTCCTGTTGTGAGTGCAGAGGGTGGCTGGAGTCAGACAGCAGCACAGCAGCTGCAGACTGGGCCTGCTCTTGGCCTGAGCCCGTGGCCGTGAGGGGTTCGGAACTGCTCAGAACCACAGCGGCTGAGGTGTGTGAAAAGATCTGGAACAGTGTGAAATTGCTGGTGTCTGACGCTGTCCCCACCTCCCCTGACTCCTGCCTGGGCTGCCCTGAACACTGGCCCAGAGCTCGGCGGCCCTGCACGGCCAGCAGGTCCCACTGTGTCTTCCACCAAAGCAGGTGTCCAGGCCCACAAATTCGCTCATGTTGTCCTGTCTCCTCCCCCGTTAGAATTCGGCTCCTGGGGCCTATAAGTGTGTGTTTGGTGACAGAACAGCTCCTGGGTGACTGGTGCCCTGCATGACTTGGGCTCTGTGAAGTGCAGCCCAAGCCCACACCCCGAACCACACGGCACGCCCCTGCCACCACCTCCCGGCCCTGAGCAGATGGGCGTCCCGATCCACAGCTGCCACGGTGCCCGCCCACACAGCTCTCAGTTCAGCAATTCCGTGGTCCCCTAGTGAGGAAAGTCCTCGGGCGCCTCAGGGCGAATGAGTCCCGTCCATCCACTGCATGAAGGCCAGGACTAACGGGGTGTGCGGAACCCGGCCAGGAGCGCCGGCCAGGAGCAGACACCGTCCTGTGTGCGGCCCGAAGCTCTGGCTCCAGGCAGGGACACCGAACCTTCTGTCCTGCGTGGGGACGAGACCCCCACCCCAGGCCATGTCAGCAGGGCACGGAGCTCCCTGAGGGGTTCATGCAGGCTGTGGGGGCGTCCCAAGGGTGGGGCAGTGGGCTGCTCCCGAGCTGCTCACAGGAAGCGTGCGCTCTGTCCCGGGCCCGCCGGACCCTCCCCGCCTGCTGCCAGCCTCTACCTACCTGGCCAGCACAGCCTAGGCCTCGGTTTCCCCAGCCATCCCTGGGAGGGTCTGTGCTGGGGACGCTTCACAGAGGGCCGACGCCAGGTGCCGCCCCTGTTCCCGTGTGCGCGCCTGGAGAGAGATGCTGTGGCAGGGTGGGGGGAAGGGCAGGGCGGAGACCGCGGGGACGGCTTTCCGCGGGGAGTGTGCATGTGTGCGGGCACACTCACGCCCAGTCTCGGGATGAGGGACTTGGTGTGCGATGCCGCACACTCTCACTGTCCACTGTCCCTGCGTCCCGCTCTGGAGGGGCTCCCGGGACCGGCGCCTGGGGTCGGATGACCCGGTCAGCATGTGTTCCCACTTGGGACCACGGCCACGTCCTCCTCGCCCTCCCCCAAGGCTGTGCTGTACACGTGCACTCGTGTGGTGTGTGTGTGTACATACACGCGTGGCTGGTATGCAAGTGTGTCTGTGTATGTATCCATGTGTGCATTTGTGCATGTATGTGGTGTATATATGTACACACTGTGTGTGGTGTGCATGCCAATGTGAACGTGAATATGTGTGTGATTGTGTGTGTTCCATGGTGTGTGCCCCTGTGTACACGAGTGTGCGTGGGTGATGTGCGTAATATGTATATGCATGGTGTTTGGTATGTGTCTGTGTGTGTGTGCATGTTTGTGCATGTGTGTGGAATATGTATATATGCATGCTTACTGATGTGTGTGTCCAGTGTACGTGAGTGTGTGCATGTGTGGAGTGTGTGTGTCCGCGTGTGTGGTGTGTGTTTCTCCGTGTGCGCGAGGAGGCTTTGCAGCCGTCCCTCAGACACGAGGGACGCAGAGGAAGGGTCTTGCTGGCCGCGTTTGCGCCTGGCTGCTTGTGTGCGTGAGCGTTTCCTGCAGTGTCTCCACATCCGTCTTCCTTCGCTTGTTTCTCCAGTGTGTCCTTATTTTCTGTTTGATTTTTTTATCTCTCTTCATGGTCCTGGGGATGGGACTCAGGACCTGTGCTCTCAGCTACACCCCAACCCTTTTTATTTTTTGTTTTGAGACAGGTCCTTGCTAAGTTGCCCAAGCTAGGCTTGAATTTGAGATCCTCCTGCCTCATCCTCCTAGAGGCAGGGGTGACACATGTATCACCACACCTGGCTTCTGGTTGGTTCTGGAGTAGGAGCTCTGCACCGTGTGTTGCAGGCCTTCTCCCAGGTGCTGAGTGCAGTAGCGGGGGCTGTTTTACCCCCGTGGTCTGCAGCTTGCTGTCCTCTGGAGGACGTGGAGCACTGGCCCTGTGCCCGGCTCCTTACCGTCGAATTCCTCTCACCCTGGGGCTGGGTCTGTCTGCGGCTGTTTCTGCAGAGAGGAGGCTGTGGCTTCTCTGAAGCTCCGCGATCCTGGTGCCCTCCCCACCGCGTTTCCAGGGGCTCCGTGCTGCGTCCCCGGGGAAGCCACCTCCGTGGGTGCCCAGCACCAGCTCCTTCCTCCGCTCGAGCGTGCTTTACTTTGGCCATTGCCCAGCCTTCGTGAGACGCTTTAGTCCCAGCACAGCGCATGCCCATTCGTGGCGTGGGATTCGCTCGGCTCCTCTCTTGCTTGACTCCCGGGAACTTTGGAAATGCCTTCCCCAAATCCTCTGCCAGCACCAGAGGGTGCAGACGCTGTCCAGGGCAGCGTGGCGACAGGCTGGGACCCAGCGGTGGTGCCTGGGTGCTTGCCCCTGGTCGTGCCCACCTCCTCCCCGCCTCCCTGGCTTCCTGTTGGCAAATCTGGGAAGTGCCTGTCCCCACCGCAGCCTTGCCAGTGAGCTCACGCACTGGTGGGGTTCCCAGCCGCACCGCTGGCCTGGCAGCTCTGCCCTCTCCGTCCTTCCCGTACCACCCCGCGGTGCTCCGTGACTCAGAGTTCCCCATCCCAGTGAGCGGCTCTCTCCAGCCACGCGTGACAGCCTCCCAGTGTCCACAGAGCTCTGGATTTGAATCGTAAGGGCCGTGCTCTGTGCCCGTGAAGCCTCCCTCGACAGCTCCATGTCTGCCTCTTGCTGAGCTGCACACCTGCCCGCTTCCATGCGCCCACGCTGGCACTCCAACCCTCGCCCGAGGGGGCCCAGCCTCTCCAGCCTCTGTGACACCTCAGGGTGCCATACCCGTGCGGAGCGCTGCTGGCTGCAGCCCCAGGACACAGCCCCTCCGCCTCTGCCCCACCCAGGCCCCACAGGGCCGCGGTCCGTGCTCACTGCTTAGGTGCTGGGGCCTCCGACCCCGCCCGCTCACCGAGCCAGCCTGCTGTCCCAGAGCCACGGTCCAGTCCTGCCTCAACTCACACACTTCATGCTAACTTGCTCCTCTCACGCTGAACGGCCGCTGGCGGCCCGCATCACTGTGCTGAGTGCAGACTGCGGCCAGGAGGCCCCAGGACTGGGTCTCTGTGTCCGAGGAACGGTGGAGGAGGGCAGCTGTCTGCCCTGTGTCATGTGCGTGCCCGGGTGGCTGTGGTCCATTCTCCAGCATAGAGGAGGGGGGTGCCTGAGTTCCTGGGGCCTGGCCCTGGTTCTGTCGGTCCCAGGACAAGCATGGTGCGTCCCCCTCGAACAGGAAAGAGGCCCCAGGGGAGGCCCCGGGCCCCGTGCTCCTCCTGGTCCTGGTGAGGGTGGCCTGGCCCCGGCCCCTCCAGCCCCCAGCCAGGTGGCAGGGCGGGTGCTGCCCTGACCTTGTCCTCGAGGGTTTGCGCCGTGGTCGTCCGGCTCCTCGAGTGGCGGAGCCTGCGCCCCGCCCTCTGCAGGGTCTGTCTCCAGGAGGGCTGCGCCGGAAGGAGATCTGCCAGCGGGGAGCAGCAGGGCCTCGGGCCAGGACACTCAGACGCCAGAGTTAACTCAGAGAGGGCCGGCTCAGGGTCAGGGCTGCTGCAGTCCGGAGAGGGCTGGCCAGGCTGGGTCCTGCCTGCCACTTGCGCCCTCACAGGGAGCAGGAAGCTGGGACATGCGCTGGGAGGACGCCACCGCTGATTCACAACCCCGAACTGAAGAACATCAAGCTCAGACCATGGCGCGTGCAGCCTGAGCTCTACCAGGCTAGGGAATGTTCCAGAACCCCGACAGCCTGCCGGCCTGTAGACTGAGCACAGGGCAGCCTCTGAGGGCCATGTGACCATGCCTGTGAGGGGCTGGTCAGAAAGACTCAGTCTGGGAACGCGTCAGCCCTGGTGCTGAGGAGAAGCGCTGGGAGCGCTGGGCCCTGGAGACAGAGGTGGCGGCCTGAAGGAGAGGCTGCAACGCGCTAGGTGAGGCAGTGCCCCGTGCCTCCCCACCCTCACCACCCTCACGACCCAGTGGCTCGGGGGCTGCGAGCCACTTCTACCCACCTGGCTCCGTGATACAAACGCAGAGCACCAGGCCCACGGCCCCAGCAGCCGACTGGCCCAGTGCCCGGACGCTCAGCCGCGGGCAGCGGGAGAGGGCGGTGCATCCCCAGCTGTGTGGCTTCCCAGTCTGTTTGCAGCTCTCCTGTATGAAGGGCAGGAGGGAGGAGGCAGGAGTCAATCCTCACGTCCCCTAACCTGAGGGGCGCGGCCTCTGCAGTGAGTTGACCGGTGGCCCCCAAAAGAGGTGTCTACCCAGACCTGTGCGTGTGACCTTTGGGAACAGAGGCTTTGCAGAGTGATTACAGTAAAGACCTTGAGACCGTCCTGGACTACGTGGGCGAATGTCCTTCAAAAGATGACAGCGGGAAACCGGACTCGGACTCACAGAGATGCCAGGGGCCTCCGACCTGCGTCGGGTCCCAGCTCAGGAGACTCAGGGACAGACGGACGGGTGGACAGGTGGATGGTGGGTGGAGACTGCAGTGGATGGATGGAATGAATTGCTGGACAGTGGATGGACGGATGGCTGCATGGGTGGGCGGGGATTGATGGGCTGGGTGGGAGGTGTAGATGGAATGGATGGCTAGGTGGGTGGGTGGGTGGACGGACGCATTGTTTGGACAGACAGATAGGATGGACTGGGATAGGACGGGTATCAGTCAGAGTTCTCCAGAGAATCAGACTCACAGATACAGACACGGATACGGATATGGACGTAGATGTAGGTGGACGTAGGTGGACGGACACACACAGACGTAAGGAAGCAGCTCACACCACTGTGGAAGCCAAGGGTCCCGGATCTGCTGTGGGCCAGCTGGCGCCTGGGGAGCTGGCAGCGGCGGGGGCTCCGGCCTGAGTCCGTTCTGAGGCAGGAGACGGTGCTGTCCAGCCTGCAGGGACAGGCCGAGAGCGACCTCCCTCCCCAGGCTCCATGCCCTGTGAGGCCCCAGCGGCGGCCCCGCCTGAGAGAGGCGCGCAGGACGTTGTCACTGCACACCCCCAGCACCTGGGCCCCGCGAGGGTGACACGGGGACACGTGGACACGTGGACACGGCTTCAGGGAGTGGCGCGGACGGATGTGGCACAGCGGGAAGATAAGGGTGGTTGAAAGGTGGGGACCGAGCAGGCTCAGGGCTCTCGTGGGGTGCGAGCTGTTGCACCTGGGCCTGGACTGAGTTTCCGGGGGCGCTGGGGCCGCTGACGTAGCAAGCGGCTCCTCATGCCTGGCCGCAGGCTCCGCACAGAGCCCTGTCGCTGAGGCTGAGCCCCTGGTGCCGGCCGGGCGTCTCAGTGGTGCCCCCCCGCAGGTGTGGCAGTGCGGTGGCAGCATGGAGGTGCTGCCCTGCTCCCGCGTGGCCCACATCGAGCGCACCAGGAAGCCCTACAACAACGACATCGACTACTACGCCAAGCGGAACGCGCTGCGGGCCGCCGAGGTGTGGATGGACGAGTTCAAGTCCCATGTGTACATGGCCTGGAACATCCCCATGACCGTAAGCCGGGCCCAGCGGGGGGACGGGGCGGGGCGGAAGCCAGAGCCCCATGGGTCCCAGCCCAGCAGCCTCAGGGTGTGGCCTTCAGGAAGGAAGGGACTCCCTCTCACAGGTCCCCAACCTTCTGGGTGGGTCACATGCCTGGGCCACAAATCACTGCCAGCTATTAGAAGTGAGGGGATCAAGCTGCATATGGTAGTATATACCTGTAATCCCAGGATTCTGGGAGGCTGAGGCAGGAGGGTTCCAGAGTAATTTAAGGACTTAATGAAATGCTGTCTTCGAGTTGGTTTTTTTGAGACACAGTTCACTATGCAGTTCAGGCTGGTCTTGAACTCACTTTGTACTTGAACTTGCAACGATCTTCCTGCCTCAGCTTCCCAAATACTGGGATTACAGGCATGTGCCACCACACCTGGCCCTGTTTCTGAGTTTTAAAGGGGCTGGAAAATGTAGCTCAGTGGAAAGACTCTGGTTTCAACCCCTCCAGCAATGTTGGAGGAGGAGAAGGAGGAGGAGAAGGAGGAGAAGGAGGAGGAGAAGGAGGAGGAGTAGGAG